CCTCACGCGGCCGATTTTTTCTCTCCCAAAAACAAACCTAGTTTCCGCCTCTCCGGCATGTGGCTTTGCCGTCGACGTGAGAGGGCAACCGCCTGCTTCTTCGTTCTCTGTTCACCGGTACCTTACTATCTTTCGAACTCCAGATTTGGTCTGCTTCTTTCGGTGAGGGTTGTGGAGAGGGTCGTGCGCGATGGCCGCATCACAGTGCTTAAGTCTCGCCGCCGTGATTCGCTCGCTGGTCGATGGGCGAAGCGTCATCGGAGGGGTACAGCTACAACCCGGCACAGGCCTCGCGTATTTCGTCCGACCTCTGGATCTATCGGATAGATTCACCTCCTCCCTTTCGATTCCGGCAATGGAGCTAGTTACGAGCGGCTATGGAGCGACGTCCTTTGCCGTGAATCTCTTCTCCGTCCGTTGAGGCTTCGAAACCTTCCAATTTCCCTTGGAAGTTCCGCCGTTACTTGCTCTCCTTTGGTGTTTAGTTGCTTCTCCGCCGAGCTTCTCCATTCGGGGACGGACTTGGCCATGGCGGCGTCGCGGCTCTGTCCTCACCAGGAGGATTGTGTGTTGTCTTCAAGGTGTTCTGGGTCTTTGAGTTTTCCGGTAGGAGCGACGGGTTCGTCTTCACAATTGATTTGGTTAGGGCCTGCGAGTTGTCTCTGTGGCTACTGGAGCCTCGTTCTCTTGGACTCACCCTTTTAGATGGGTTGTAGGACAAAGCTCCTTTTGTGATTCAGGTTTCTTCACTTGTCGATTGGCTCAAAGAATTGGTTGCGGTTCGTTTGGATTCGCTTTGTGGACAGCAGGTGTATCCTCTGATGCGTGGTCGTTGTGGCATCTTCGAGTGTGAGGTATTGACTTTGATGTTTTCCGTGAATTGCCTTCGGTTCTTGCGGTGATGTAGATTTTGATAAGGTACTGCTTTCGGTGGAGGCTTTGTTACCTTATCTCTGGGCTGCATTACCGTATCTCCGGGATTTGTTGGTAGAATTAGGACATGTTGTCGAGTGTGTCCTCCTCTTGAGGTTGTGGCGCTTTGTTTGTGTGTGGGTTAGTGTGTTGGATCGTGAGTACAGCCTTATGCCATAGAGGAGCTAGTAAGTCCATTGGTTTCTGGAGCAGTCCTTCATCGTGAAAATTAGCTTTGTAATAGCCAACTTTTTTGGTAGGGGAAGCTTGCACCGTTTCTTTTTGGAGTTTGAGGTTTCTTCTCGGGTTAAGCTCATGGAGTTGCACTTCTAGTCGCTCTCACTTGACGCGAGGGGAGTCGGTGATCGAGGTCGTTGAAGACATTTGCCGTTGACAACCCTTGTTTGGRYCTCTCTCGAACGGYTTCTATTRCATTTGGTTTTGGCCTTGCGRTCTACGTGTGTGCMTGGACCTTCTTAGCCCAACTGATCATGGTTGAACACTCTACATCGCTATCACTTCGTTTGGCTCTGTGTCGAGTAACGGACTGAAAATCTTATATACATATGTTTCCATATTTTTTAAACTTTTTTGCCATAAAATACATTGTATAGGACTACAATCAATATTGTAATCCTAAACCGATTCATTTTTATGAAATATTTATCATATAGCAAAAAAAATAAAAACTGATCGATGAAACCGATGAATATTTATCCTATATATATTTGTATTATTGCGACATGTTATGGAGAGGGACTTTCAATATTTCAACTGAGTGATGTCGGGGATCTGTCATCGCAATTATTGACATTATATTATTATGACCATCAATTTTATTGTAAATGCAATTTTTGATGTCAACACCATACATTTTATCGAGATTATACTTGAATTGTAACAAAATGACAATACTAGCACAAATCACCGAAGTATATGTCCTAGTCATACCTACAATCATTTGATAATCATAACGTTAATGTTGATCATATAATGAAATGGTTGGATATTTTTTAGTTTGATGGTTAACTGTATTAAAAGAAAAAAAAAACACGCACAATGTTTTTGCACCGAAGCTTTAAATACATAGACAAAAGATTGGTTGAGCAACTGAGCATTCAAGATAGAGCATTATATATAGAAGCCAATTCTAATAAATATATAATCGGATATTCTACAAATCGGATTCTATATTAGTGGGAAAAAAAACATAATGGGAAAAATCGCATTAAAGATTAGCGAACTTGTCATAAACAATACTCTACAAGATGATTGAATCAGAAACTAGCACAAAGCTACCGAGAAAAACTATATATGGTTGAAATCGTCAGTTACATTGAGAATTTGAACTTGGATGGATGATTATAACACTCTGATGGTGACCACACGAACACAAACTACTACCCACATTTCATGCTCTTCATTAGATTTTATCTATTTTACATTGGTTGCAGTGAAACCAATCTTTTAAAAATAACACAATTTGTTTTCAAGATTAATACAACAACTTACATCTGTTTTCATTTCCTTCGGTGACATCTTTGCATATAATGTACATAAATATCGTTATTAGCTAAATAGAGATCCAACAAGTAACAGTTCGAATTGTGGTTTAGTTATATACATATTTCACATTTAACATAGGGAGGGCCTTCAAGATTGACTTCCGATGTAACTGTCGAAGTCACTTATATCTAGGAATCGAGCCATCCCACTAGCTTCCAGAAACCTGATCAACAAGACATAAATTCACAATTATAATCAAATGTTTACTTATATGATCCATATCTCTCTATCTCGAAATTAGACGAAGAAGAATTAAATTTACTTGTCTCTGAAGAGTCTTGTCATGGAGACACATCCACCAGGAAGCATTGATTGCATATTAAGTGCAATGTTAGGGTTATGAATACTCTGCCTCATGTGCACCCACCCATACTCTTCTCCACTCTCTTCATCCCTCACTTTTGCCCTGAAATTTTCATTTAATTATTAAGTCGAATTTCGATTTTTATCATATGATATATAGAATATGTGACCAAATTACCTATACATGTGAGCATCAATGGCAGATGGATGATCATTTGAGTCCACCAAGCAACCTTCACTCACCCAACATTCCCCACATGAATCCAAGTCCCACCCTTTTAGTTTTCCTTCCTAATAACCATTTTATTTTTTCCCACGGTTATAGTTATGAAATCTATAGCTACAGTCGTAACCAATCAAATTTTAATTATAGCTATGATACCTCGATGAATTGCCTAAATGTCTCAATGGCTTCAATGCCTTTTGCTTTGGCATCTCTTGGCGCTGACAAAATATTCATCCGCAGCTCAACCGCTTCTAACGGCTCCTCAAGATCTTCGATCAGACTACCGATACCTTCTTTTGATCCTGCGAGTCTCATTCTCACCATTTCAATTATGATCTTCACCACCATGTATGCACCTACAATCCCCAAGTATAAGAAACAAACGTAACAAAGATCATAATAACC